CCCTCCCTGCCTACAGTTCTCCGAGCATGCTCTACGACGATATATACTGTCACATATCTATTAACTAGAAGAGCGCACTTTGCGAATAAACGACAAAAATAGAGAAGACAAATATGAAGAGCACAATGAAACCGTTCTTCGATCATTTCTTCTTTTAGCTCCACTTGTACTGTGCCTCGCACGTACAAGGCTCGCTGCCTTGTTGAAGTTGAGCAAGGTGCCAGCATCCTGTGTGCCATAGCGGCCCACTTGCACACTTTGCAAAAGAGGCAGAGAAAAGATGGAAAGCAGCCAAAGCTACGGAAGACAAAAAAATTCAGGAAAAGTAAAGATTATGGTGGAACGAAGATAAAAAACATTGGAAAGATAAGAGAAGGGTCAAGAATCAGTCTGTGCTTGACGAGAGAGAGGACATGCATTCTAAGGATGAGATGGATGGAAGACCTAGCTGAAGGCTCGACTTATTCAACGCCGGTGTAGACACGACTTATTCAACGCCGTTGAAGATACTCGGAGTGAAGAACTCGCTGCGAAGGCTCAAGCTCGTCGTGAAAGGGGATCACTGGGAATAGCCAGCCCTTGGTTGAACCCCAACCGTGTCTCTGATACGCAGCTGAACGGAATACTAGTGAACGTGAGATGCTGGTGGGATAATTGCCCCGACATGTTCGGCAAGGCTGATTTGCCACGATGGCTGGCATTGAGCATGCCCAGCAAACACTCCGGACAAATCGCATGTTGATTGCAGGTCAACATGAAGAAAGAACGGGCACCACAAAAGACCATGCACTCAGTATAATGGCCATGGCTGCAAAATGGACATACAGTGTCCGGATGTGGAGGGTGCCTGCCCTCTGCACACACAGATGCAGAAACCAATTCATTGCAGTGATTGTGACAGAGACGATGACGGCTGCAGCCGAGTGTAGCAGTGTTTGTAGTTGTGCAAAGGAGACGGCTGCAGAGTGTTGATACATTGTCTTTCTGCAGCACGGGGGCAGAGGAATGATCTTCAACATAAAAGAGTGTGCGGACGGTTTGGTAAGGCAAGAAAACAGCATGGACCATTGTGCTCAATGTGTTGTTGTCCCACAGCTCCCAGAGGTGACAGGCATGTGCAACGGCCATCTAATGGCCAGGTCCATGTACTACGCAGGCAGAGATGTGGGATAGAGGATGAAACCGCTCACCTCCCTGAGGATTGCGTGGTTCAAGTTGGCGGTCCCTCATTGCTACTTGCAGGACTGCAATTCTAAAGCCTCCTTCCCTGGCATACTTACTATTCTCTGCCTGTAGGCAGGGAAGATCAGCATCAAGCTGAAGGGAAATTGCAAGAAAGTCTGACGGTGTGTAAAGCAGGTGGCGCAGAACATGAAGACAAATATTAGTTGCAGCCATACCACAGAGATTGGGGGGGATCTTAGGCTGGAGGGCCGGATGGTGACCAACAATTTGCGGATCACCCAGATTGTGTTGCAAGCCTAAAATGTCCTGGGCTGTTTGCTGGTCAGTTATTTGCCGATCACCCATTTGTGGTCTACGCCTTGTGGCGTAAAAATCTGCGGTTCAGCCGAACGATGCTGGTCAGGCATTTGCAGATCACCGATGTGGTCTACGCCTTGTGGGGCAATTCGCAACTCCGGCAAATCATGTTCTAATCATACTTGCACCGCACCTGGCCTGTGCCCTGCGCAGATCCCGGGTGTGTGCATGCTGCCACGCACCTGAGTGCGCTGAGCTACTGTCTGGTGCGCTACACGCAGGTGCGCCGGGGCATGCGCACAGACCAGCTGCACATGCGCCAGAAGCGCCCAGCTGTATTTTCTATTATTATTATTTTTGCATTTCCTTGTCTTTTTTTTTCCCTTGACATTCACAGATTGCATATGCATTGATGATCGCGCTTGAGAGATGATGGCAGAAGGTGGGAGAAAGGCGGGAGGAGGGAGGAAAGATGATGGTGGGAGGAGGAAG